ATTTTCAGAAGTAAGATCCTATTGAATGAAGACATAGCTCTTAACTAACTTAGATTCCTAGATTTACATCAAAACTTTAACCGCCACACTATGTTTACTGGCTGAAGAATATCACCCTTTTCCTGGGAAGCCTTTTCCGGGTTCGGAATCCACAGGCCCGAATGGACGAAGATCGGCGACTATCTACGCCGATCGTGAACAATACGAGATCCAGCTCCACATTAGCGCAAACCATCGACAAGCCTGTTCAAGCATCTTGCCGTCTTCTTGGTACATATGGGAGGGAGAATAGGGGCTGGGCTAATAGGAAATTATCTCGTCAACTCCATTACCGGACATTTCATCTTTCATTCCATCCTTCACCCTCGTCGCTCTTTTCGGATCTTTTAAATCCAGTCACTCGTTTCTCTTCAATATGGCCCCTTTTTGGCCATGGATGGGCGCCTTCCTAGCAGTCCTGCCAGTGGCTCTAGCAGGACATGGCGACCCTATCTCCCAAAAATATATTGTCGAGTTTGCTGATTCCAAGACTGTTCGTCCACATATTAACCCCGTCGCAATGGCAATTCATTGCGCAGACTTACTAACTTACATAGTCGTCCGCCAGCTTCCTCTCCACCCTCAAGGACCATGGCATTCCAGCCAGTCTCAACCATGACCTGTCCTTTGCTCTTTTCCACGGTGGATCCTTTACTCTGCTGGACAACAAGCAGAACGAGGCTGCCATTGTCAAGCAGATCTCCTCGTGGCCGGTGGTCAAAAAGGTCTCCCCGGTGCGGGAGCTGCAGCAACCTCAGCGCGACGTTTCGAGCGTCGGCCCTGGCGCACCTATCCGCCGTAGTCCTGCCCCTCACGGTCTCAGACGCCGTGACACGACGGGTCACGAAGGCAACGACTACCCACACATCATGACTGGAGTTGACAAGTTGCGCCAGGAAGGCTACCTGGGTACAGGAATTCGCGTAGCGGTGATGGACTCGGGCGTTGACTACAAACACCCCGCTCTCGGAGGCTGCTTTGGCAAAGGTTGTCTGGTTGAATTCGGCTTCAACTTCCTCGACAACACTACCGACCCGTGGGAAGGCCACTCTGGACATGGTATGTCAACATTCACCGACACGGTATATTTTGGAATTTTCGGCTGATCGCCTGCAGGAACTCATGTCTCCGGACTGATCGCGGCTCAGCCCAACCCCTACAACTTCACGGGCGTGGCCCCGAATGTGACTCTTGGTCATTACAAGATCCTTGGAAGGCCGACAGTGAAACTCGGTACTGACATCGTTACTGCCGCTTTCAAGAAGGCCTACGAGGACAAGGCAGACATCATCTCGGCATCGTTTGGCACGTACAAGGGCTGGAGCGACGAACCGTGGGGACAGCTGATCCAGAAATTGGCCGAGGCTGGTCTTCCCACGTTCGTTGCCAGTGGCAATGACGGAAATAATGGCTTGTTCCTGGCCTCGAATGGTATCGACAATTCCGCCGGCATCGGCATCGGATCCTTTAACAACGTCTATAGTCCACTGCTGCTGCCTGGAGCTTCCTATTCCACCGGGAACACCACCGAGGAGTTTGTTTGGCAGCTCGCGGGTACGTCCGACTTCAAGAATGGCACCTACTCTCTCTACCCGAGCAGCCTGAATGCATCCGTCATTGGTGATTCTTGCGAGCCATGGACAGCGGACCGCCCGAACCTCTCCGACAAGATCGTCCTGATCCGCTACGGTGGCTGCCACGGCAGTGAGCAGCAGGCCAACGCGGTCAAGGCCGGTGCTAAGAATATCCTGTTTTATAACAATGAGCCGGGCACCTATGAGCTTCCTGTCCAGAACCCTGCTCTGGTGGGCCTAGGAATGGTCTCTGCCCAGACTGGCGCGAACTGGGTGAAACTGGCCGCCTCTGGAGCCAACATTACTCTGCACATGACCAGCGCAAAGTACGCTAACACCATCTTCATCAATGAGACCAACCCTCAATCTGGGGGCCAAGTCAATGATGTGACCGAATGGGGCCCCAGCAACGAACTCCTTCCTGTGACAGCAGTTTCGGGAGTCGGTGGGTTCATGCTGTCGACATGGCCGATGCTGGAGGGCGGTTACGCCGTGGAGAGTGGTACTTCGATGGCGACGCCCTACGTTGCTGGCTGCGTTGCTCTCCTGATGGAGGCTCGTGGAAAGGGCAAGGTGACCCCTGCTGAGATCAAGTCTCTGCTGACGACCACTGCTAAGCCGAATGTGTTCCATGATGGCGTTACAGCCTCGCCCTTCCTGGCCTCCGTGGCGCAGCAGGGAGGTGGCCTTATCGATGCCTACAAATTTGTGCACACCACCACCAAGTTCAATGTGAGCACAATCGCCTTCAATGACACCGAGCACCTCGCCCCGGCGTGGATCCGCATCAACAACACCGGCTCCGAGCCGCGTGTCTACACTGTCGGCCACGTGGTCGCCGCTACCGTCTACACTCTGCCCGACAACAGTTCCATCCCGCAAAACAACGAACTCGGCCACTTCGTGGACCGCACTACCAAGGGCGCCTCGCTCAAGTTCAGCTCATCCAGCGTGCTCGTGGCCGCCGGCGAGTCTGCCGTGCTGAAGGTCACCGCCACCCCGCCCAAGGGTCTCATCGCCCGTCGCATCCCCGTCTACAGCGGATACATCACGTTCAACGGAACCTCAGCGGATGATTCCTTCTCGGTTCCCTACCTGGGGGTTGCCACCGCCATGCGCAACGTGACGATCCTAGACACCACGCAAGGTGGCAACTATCTCATCGACAGCACCACCCAGAAACGCGTCCAGGCCAACCACCAGTTCGTCCTGCCAGGCAAGAATGACTCCGCCCACCGCACAAACACAAGCTACCCCATCTTCCAGACCCAGCTCTCAATGGGAACGGATCTGCTCCTCGTCGGCGTCCAGCCGGCAAACGGCCGCACTATTCTCCCAGTGTCTGATCCCCTGACAGCCCTCCCTCGGAGTGTTGATGGTCTTGCTGGCCCCAAACCCACTTCCTGGATGGGCAAGTTGGCGAACGGTTCGTATGTCCCAGCGGGCAACTACTCCCTGGTTGTGCGTGCGTTGAGAATTTTCGGCAACCGCACTAACCCGCGGGATTATGACACCGTGCGCACGGTCAACTTTGGGATCACATACGCTTCCCCAGTTACCATAAATAAGCTATAGAGGTGTTTAAGCTTGGGATGCATTGCATCTTTATTCTAGTATTAGCCTAGAGATCTAGGCCTTGGCATGACTCTCGTGCATGTCCAAGCGTTGGACCTTACACTTTATCTATCCTTTGTAAAGCCTTTTCTGTCCCCTTCTGAATAGGATGGATGGTAATAATCATTACTTCTAATAGAACCCTGTTGTTGATAGCTACATCGGCATTGGCATCCATATCACCTTCTAATATAAGCTGCAACCTGAAACTTGAATGGTCATGCATCCGAACGGTTCGACGGACACGTATCTGTTGCAGCAGGGCGATATGTACGGAGTATTCCTACTAGCGCTCTCGATCTACCGTCGATCCTCCCACATTTCAAATCGTAGATTCTTCAATCTCTCTTCACCCTAATCCATCATCCCATGGCTGTTTCATCACCGGGAACCCTTGGGCTTCCCTTCTTAGCAATGTCTCTTTTTCCCATTTTCGAAGTCCAGACTCTGTCATTTGCGGGTAAATGACCCGTCGTAGACGTTACCTGGATCGCCAGACCGTAGGCGAGCTAGCCAAGCTGCTAGCTCAATCCATAATGTAGTTGTCCATCAACAAGGATTTGGATATCCTCGCCCTCTTCATCGTCGTGGAAGCCCCTGTCGCCCCATCACTCGAGGAATTTCGGCGCCGGCAAAGCCGTAGGCATCATCCTGGGCGTCCCCTCATCGGTGTCTTCTTCTTCCTCCCTTACTTCCACCGCCACCTCGTCAGGCAGGACGCCCGCATCCGCTTCTACCACCTTCCTGTCGGCCCCTGTCTCCTCAAGGACAACTGCCACTCTACTTCCCCGCCAAAGGCGACCAATTCGTAACCAACTACTACGAAGATGACATTCGGGAGAGGAAAAGAGTGGGTTTGCTCCTCAACTGAGAACGAAAGTTCCTGATGGAGGATGGGCCGTCCTCCCTTGTGTTTTACGACTTCGCAAAGTTCCCATCCGCTTTACCTAATTCAGCTAGTGCTTGATCTGTTTCACATATGACTCATACGCCTAGCCAATGATGCCCCAGACGATCATCTATGAATTGGAATACGTCAGACCGTGCTTCGACGACCGCGACTGTAACCGTAGCTACTCAGGCGAGAAGACCGCATTACCAATCCGCAACGCGACCGCCCGTACGACCAAATGGATAAGCTAAGAGGATCGAGTTGACAGTGGGCTGGCAGCTTGATCGCATTGCTTCTGAATTTCCGCTATACATTGCTTGGAGTTGGCTCAGCGTGGTAATAATCTGGTTGTGCGTAGGAGAATGGGCTGGAGCAGCAAGTGACTGGGCGACGGCGATGATGTTTGGGCAACTCCTAGCGGCGTCTGTGTCCCTTATTGTGCTTTATACACGAGAATAGACATAACCGTTTGGGAGCTTACACGGAGCCGACAGCATAACCTACAAGGTATGGGCCCAATACCAGAAGCTGACCGAGAACTGACCGAGAATATTAGAATGATGGGCGGACCCTTGAGGGTGACATTTTATAAACTTACCTCAAATTAATTTTGGTGGTTCAAAGGGGACCGCAATGTCGTGCACACCACTCATAATGATTCACAAATGATGGACATCCGAATGCGGATGCCTCTACCGTAGTTGTTCTGCAATGCCACGTCATAGAGACGCACATCACGTCAGGGCTTAAATACCTCCAGTGTCAGCCTTTGCTTCCACTTTCCATTTAACCCCTCTTCTGAACAACCTAGGCCGTTCCTTTGCTACCAGACCTCTGGTGATTCGACACCTCACCTCTACAATACTAAGGCCGAAAGCACAATGGAAGGCCCTACGAATTCCAAGGAAATAGCACCGGCGAGTGCAAGCTGGACAGTTGATTACCTCATGGATGTGGATCTTAAAAGTAAAGACGGCACTGACATTCCTCTCTACAACAAGCACCTGAGATACGGTGAGGATGATGGCTATACCAGAAATTTAGGTATCCGCCAACAGGTCGGGGACAAAAGCGAACGCTTCGACACTGAAAAGGAGGACTACTGGCTGTTTCATATTCATTCTAACCATGCCGACTTTGAAATCGCCATTGGAGGGGAGACCCCGGTACTGGTGAATTCGAAGCCGAACTGGAACAAGTGTTCCGACGAAGACACCGATGTCATCTGGAAATCACACAAGTGGGAAGATCCGAGTTCTAGCAAGAATCACGTATGGCTGAGGAGCTGGGTTGTCTTTGAAGACGAAAAGAAAGGGTGTTTCAATCGCTTTGTCGCAGTGCGATGTCCGAAAATGGACAACCCGGCCATTACGATCAAGGGCTCGGGGCATTTTGCGTGCCTTCACTGGGTGGGCTTGTTTCTTAAAACGACCACCAACGACACCAACAAGTTTGTTACCGTGAGAACTACCAACAGATTGCTTCCGGATTATGGCGAGCGCAATAGAACTGCAGGCTATGAATGGTTCGATGAGGATGGACCTGCCGACGTCACAAACCGCACTCTCACCCTCTTCCCGAAACAACTGTACGGTACCAATGGCAATGACCCGGTCTTGTACGACCGGTTTGTTACTACTGATCCAGAAAACCTTTTGGGTCAAAAACATTTTGATCTCGTCCGCTCCATGTTTGAGCAGAAGTCCGCATTGTCTGCCTACAAATATACGTGGCATGCCAGCGGAAGGACCTTAATAAAAACAGCCGACGACTCGTTTTGGCAAGAACCGTACATGTCTGGAGAGACCACGCTTGATTATGTCTCCGGCATTGAGGTGATCCCAAGCACGGTAAACGGTTGGACTGTGCTTCTCACTGTCTTCACAAGTGTAACGAAAATTGCAACTGGACTGTTCACCGCCAACTTTGGCAGCATCGTGAGCGGTATTTTCGACATGACGGATGTATTCGATGAGAAAAAAATGAGGGAAACCGCCGATTTGAAGGGCTTTGTCACAGCTGCTGCCGAGGCAGTAGACGAGTACAACAAGAAATTTCCTGAAAATAAGAAAAAGAAGCCCAACTCCGCTGATGTCCCTACGATCAATCTGGAGATCCAAAACGAGACGGTTTTGCATATGCACTTTGGGACCTCCTATATCGGTACCAAGACAAATGCATAAATCCTTTGCCACTATGATATCAGTTTTTGACGAAGATCGTGCATCGTTGAATCTGCCAGAGGGTTGGATCATCATTCCACCATAAAATCATCCCGGAATCTGGCCGGCCATGGGAGTTGATAGGGCTGGCTGTTCATATTTAACTGAACTTGCGAGACGCTAGACAACATCGTCCGCCAGCAATTCTCTCATGCCGACATGTGGAGATATTATCAACCATACAAACAAAGAGAACAAGAATAAGTAGGCTGGTGTTTTTGTATGTAAGGTGCACAGTTAGTCCTAGAGCGTGACTAGTTGGTCCGAAAGATTGACTATTTAATCCTAGAGGGTGCCTAACGTGCAACCCTTCGCAACCACTTCCAACCCTCATCGCTCGTAATTAAAATTGTCAAGGAAAGTGGAGGGTTACTTACAACCTCCTCGTATTGGATGCTCCTATATCCCTCGTTCTGTGCGAAATCTTGGATTTGTACACCACATAGACCAGGATAATCCTAGTACCTTTGCATAACCCGCTCCTTCCAACTGTCCATCGGAATAGACAGATGAGTATTTAGCATGCCCGCTGTTTACACTATAACTAGTATACGTTGAAGTACGCTGTACTTCTCAAACCCTACTAACAAAACATACCCGGCGCTAAACCAAAAACATGTTAGGGTATGCTGAACTTTAGGGGAAACTCCTGCTGAACTTCAGCATACTAATTTAGAGATAATAACCTATATTACTCTCCATTTAACAATACTAACTAATTATCTGGATATATAAATATATCTTAGTCAAGTTTCAGTCCTTCATAATCAGTTATTAATGAGGAAAATGATAGGTTCCCATCATACCTTAAGATCATGTGGGAATAGTGAGTGGCTCTCTACACTATATATAGCAGCTGCTACACCTGCTAGAATCTCCCATGGCATCTATAAGAGAAGCATTAATTAAAAAGGATGTAATAGAGGGAAATTAAAGCCTATAGCTAATTAGAGAATGTGGCTGCTACTATTAGGGATGTAGTATAACTACCTAATAGAGCTAATAAGATCTATGGTCTTCTAACTATACTTAGCTATCTCTACTACTTTAAACAGTATGACTTCTGCATAACTAGTGCTAATTATATAATAATACTATAATTAGTAGTATTAATGGCAGGTTTCTCATTATAGTGTCACACCCTGTGTAAGGGATTAAGGTATATAGGTGTGATCCGGTTGATCAGACCCATTGGGGTCTGGTCATAATGGCCTTTTTGGTCGAGTTGGTAGTAGGTTGGACCGGACACCTATCTATTACACCCTGGGATCCGTCTCTGCTGTCCCTGCTAGTCACTACCTTGGGAATGATATAGTCCCTGGACTATATCTGATACTTGCCTAAGGCCTACCGACCAGGTAGCCTATTGATATACTAATAGGGTATAGGTATGCTTAATGGTATAATAATCTAAACAGGATCAAGGGCAATCCAAGGATACACAAGAATAATAACAGTAAAGATAGAAGCAAGGCCTATTAAGTATGTATACTTAATAGTAAGAGAGTAACTAATAAATTAGACTAGTGAACTTATACTTAAGTAAATAACTTATATTAAATATAAGGAACTAAAACTAAGAGTGCTAGATATAATAGTAGTGAGTATCTTTATATATCCTTAGTTCCTCTAGGTGATAGTTAAGGTAGATGGTAGGATGGTATGTTAGTAGATGTTAATGATACTGATATACTATCTATTATATCTACCTATCTACCATTGCTAAGCTGTGGCATATGGTAGTTAGTCATATAATATAGTAGCTATATTTAGTATTCTTTTAGTAAATATGAATTATCCTCCATAATAACTAATCATTACCAGAGATTAGTCACATAGGTGCCTAGTGGGTGGTGGTTACCTATATAGTGTAGTAGTATATAACTAAACTATTTTTCTATGAGTAGGAATCTATCTAGATTAAGTGTTTCCCTAGATTACTAGGTGATTATTTCAAGATTAGTTAGTATTTAATAATCCTTGGGATTCTGCCTATCACATCTACCTTGCACTAATATAGCTATATTAGTATTATAACATTACCTCCCCCTCTCCTAGTAGTTTATCCTTAAAACTTGATTTAAAAGGCAGCACTTCCCCTAGGTAAGTAGTACTTCTCTTTTAACTATGTTTACCTATCATACCTAAGTATTGCACTGACACTATCCTTAAAAGTATACTAAAGCTTCCTTATAACTATAATTAAATTACTAGTTATATTTATTATAAAGAATACATCCTTAAGAATAGTTTTATGACTTCTATACTATGTAATTCCTGTATCTTATCTAGTAAAGATTACATAACGGATTAAACTTATTATTATTTAAAGTATGTATTATATACTCATCAGGGTTACTTATATAAGAAGGATTTCTATACTAAAAAGGAGTAGGATCTTCTTAAGTAGGCTAAGAAAAAGATTACTTCTAAGCTTTCTATAACTAATAATAAATTAGAGCTTCTTTATCCTGAGCTTTAATAGTTATAAGAACATTTAGAAAAGATTTAGAGAGAGTTAATAGAAAAGTAGTAAAAGGTTACTAAGTCCTTAGCCTAGTAACGGTATTGTGCGCGGAGTCCACGGTTGCCATACTAATTATGGGTGACCATAAGGTCTAGTGAGCGCAGAGTCCATGTTGATTCCCATCCACTCTGGAGTCCATGGGTCCTCACTATCCTGCCTTAGCAGAGTCTATGTCTTGCTCCTAGAGTCTATATTTCCCTCTAAACTTTTTTTTTTTTTATCTATTTTTCTTTTCCCCTCCGCTGACTCTCCCTGAGCCACCGACCATCATGTAGTAGAGGTTTGATTTTAATCAAGTCTTAATACTATTACTATTACTATATGTATATATGTTAGAGTTAAATGTCTATAAGAGGTTTCACAGTCATCTATAATTCATAATTCATAATTCATAATAATAGTTAATTAACTCCTTATCCTAGTGATCTATCCTATATTAAATCACATTCCATTCTCTAGTATAGTTTACTTCCTAGTTATTTATCCTATCTCCCTCTGAAGAGTTAATCCTCCTAAAGTTAAATTATAGTGTGCCCTTAAAATTATATCTCTAATTAAGGGGGACAGTAGCTAAAGTAATTATAGATATCTCTCTCCTACAGCCTAGTATCCTACAGTTGCGCCTTGGGTAAAGCCATCTATTAAGTTAATCCACTATCTACTCCTACGCAGAATATAATGATTAAGTATTTAAGTATAATTAGGATTATTATAGTAGAGGAAGAACCCAGCTGATTAAATTATAAGGTATGCAAGGTATAATATAGTTAAGGGGGATCTTATTTATATTTTATTTAAAGCTAGTGCTTCCACTATAGAGGGAGAGTATAGGAATATATATTTCTAAAGATTAATATTATTAATGAATTTTTATTCCGCGACCCCCCACTATAGGGCGTGTAAGTTAACTATTTAAGGGCTAGTGGTAAATATTTCCTTATAATAAACTAGGCTCTGCCCATAAAAGCAAAGATCTATCTAGAGAGAGAGAAATAAGAAATAATAAACTAGGGTATTTATACTATATTCTAAAAATCATCACTACCCATCTACTTATTATTTGTGTGCTTATTAACAACTAAAGCCCTGAGGCCAATGGCACTGAGAGAAATAAAGAAAAAGGCTAGTAGTTAGTCTATAAAGCCTCATAGTTATAAGGTAGTTAAGTGATGAAGAATATAGCAGATAAAGGCTGTATAAAAAGGCTGCTAAGGCTCCCATGGTGGTAAGTATAGTTGATAAAGATAAAAGGGGGCAAGAAAAAAAGCTATATAAAAGGCCCCTAATGCTCCTATAGTGTGGTAGTATGTAGTATAGTTAACTGATGAAGATAAAACCAGGGGTGAGAAAAAAAGCTATATAGAAGGTCCCTAATACTCTTATATTAGTAGTATTATTAACTAATAAAGATAAAATGTGGCAAAAAGCTATGCAGAGTGATTTATAGCCTTTTTAGTACTAGCTAAAAAGTAAAGGCTGTGCCCCTAATCAGAACTTATACTAAGCAGGCTTTCGCTGGTGCCTAGGGCGCTTAGCTGCTGCTATTAGTGCTAGAGTATTATTAGTCCTGGCCAGGGAGAGCAGTGCATGGGTAAAAAGTAAAGAAAAAGGGAGAAGAGAACTTACTAAATAGTGCCTTATATTTCTATTAAGTCCCCTACTAACCCTGCTGGCTGGATGGTGGTGCAGTGACTGCAGAGGGTAATGCAGGGCTAGACTAGCTAGGAGGAGTATTAGTCTAGTAGAGGGAAGGTAATAGGTAGTAGGGCCTATCTAGGCTACTAGGGGAGCTTAGCAGGGAGCTTAGTGGTGATATCTCTTAGGATAATACTAGTAGATTTAGATTTAACTAGCTTAGTAGTGGTGTGCTTAGAATAACCCCCTAGCTTATCTAGAGTAGAGATCTTAGTTATATTACCTAACCCTAGAAATCCACTGTTAGAGCCTAAATCTATGTAAAGGGGGAAGGGTTTAAGGGGGCATACTAGGTCTAACTATTATAATATCTCTATCTCCTTATCCTAGGTAGTAACTTAGACCTCCTTTAAGTAGCTTAGCGCGGCTTTATATTCCTCTAGGCTTAGGTTCACCTATGCTAGATAATGACTACTGCTACTAGGGCTATTACTATTATTATTATTATTATACTCATCACTACTATTGCCATTATTTAAGCTAGGCTGACTACCCCTGCTACTAGGGCTGTCACTATTATCATTATTATTATTATTATTATTATCATTAAGATGGCTGGAGTGATTACTCCTAGAAGAATTAGACCTGCTTTAGCTTCTACCATCATCCTCCTCACTGCCGGACCACATATATTTATCTAACTTAAACTATCCTAACTGTCAGCCTTAAGCCTAGAAATAGACTGAGGTTTTTAGTCCTGGCTAAGTGCCTGCCAGTCTTGGCCGCGACCGAAAAGCGC